AAATCATGCAATTTATGCTCATTTCCAAAGAGCTTAGGCTACAAACGAAAAGAAAAAATTGCCAACTTTTCTGTTCGTAATAAGTTCAGCTATTTTAGTGCAGATACGAGCGATCCGCTACTAAATGATAATATCAGTTTGTGTGACAAGATTATGGCCGAGATAAGGTGCATGCAGGCGGGCAGACGGGCAGACGGGCGGACGGGGGGACGGGCGGACGGACAGCGATGAGCAGTCTGTCGAATATAATGAAGCTGACGATGATAATGCCACCAAGTTATGACTGCATAGCAGGTTAATGCCCACGAGATCCAAGGTAGAGGGAGATGGAAGCAAAGTGTAATTCGAGACACTCTCTCTTTCTTTGTCTCTGTCGCTGTCTCTGTCTGTCGCTGACTCACCCGTCTGTCCGGCTGCCGGAGTAACATGAGACGGCTCTGAGAAGAACATGAATGTTTGGCCACTGAGACATCGAGCTCCGGTTGGCACAGCGGGTCGCCAAATTAGCGTCTAAATTTAGCCACTTATCCATTGAATCAAGCTCAGCGGGCGTTGAAGTTGAATCAAAGCAGCTCCGCCATTAAATGGAATTATAGCACTGATCCACTAATCCCAACTCCGCACCGCAGACCCAAATGGCCCACTGTCCGGCAGTCCGACTGTCAGCAACTGCACGCACTTGAAGCCACGCCTGCAACATCGGGTGCCCCAAAAGCCTTGTCAACAACAAATGCTTGCCACAAAAAAAAAAAAAGAAAAATAAATAAAAATAAAAGAGACAAGATTTGTAGAAATAAGCCAAACAGAAGCTGCAAACTGTGGCAACTCTGCTAGCTGTAGGCGAGCAGTCAGGAGTTGGCAGCAAAAAGCACTCGAGCTGCCAGCTCAATCTCTGTGGAAGCAGAAGTCCTGGCCAGAACAATGTTTATGCAGCTGAAATGGGCGTGTGAGTGTGCATGCGTGTGTGTGTGCGTGTGTGTGCTCGTTAGTTTCTCTCACTTTGTTTTTGTGTCTTCCGTTTTGTCAGTTGCATCTATCCATGTAGAGCCCCACAGGACATGCTTTTTTTCTGCGTGCATGTATACCCTGTAAATGCCAATGCAGATGAGAAATCACAACTATAACCGGATCGACTCTCTTCGTATCAAATAGTTATTCCAGGACATCCCCAACTACATGAAGAATTCTAAATAAAGACAGTTGGCATACTCATCGAGGGTATCTGCTAGGTCAGCCACTGCACTGCAACGAACAAGTGCCAGCTTGTGGAGAAATTACAAAAGAAAGTGAAGTGAAAAACACATACGATGGAAAAATCATCAACAGTTTCCTGGTCCGTGCATGGGGCTAGAGTTCAGAGACTGGCCAATTAGCCTGCGGTTGTGGTTCAAGACTTTCGCCGAGCGACCGAGGCGATTCCTGCTAATTAGAAACACCATGCAGAAGATGAGTGCATATGCAAATATATCTGCTTAAAGAGCTGCAGCCCACTCGCCTCTGCCATTGGCAGCCGAAAGTAATTTAGCTCGGGATGTGCTAGAGTTCCCAGCCAGCAAAATGTGGCATTGTTTACTTTAAAGCGAAGCGAACGAGCCGCAAAGGGGCGTGGCGTGGGCTGGGGTGGGCTGGTGTAGTATGGCAAGGGGGAAGGGCAGCAGATGCGTGTTCTATAAGAACATGAATGAGTGAATGAGCGAACATAAAGTCGCGAGTGGCTGAAGAGGTGGCGTGTTCTGAAGAAGTTCCAACAAATCTGCATGCATACACACATACATACCAGATATATATGTATGAATGCATACAAGCACGCACACATAAGTCAGTTCGAGTAGATGCGTGCAGGGCACAAACAACAACAAAACGCATTGCAATAATTATTCGCAAAACGAGAGGATTCAGCAGCAGCAGCAGCAGCAGCATCAGAAGCAGCAGCAGCAGTTGCCGCAGCATGTTTCTTCTATCATATTTACAATTTGTGTGTCGCCAATGCACTCAGGCCAACCCCAGGCGCAACAAAAAAAAAAAAAAAAAAAGCTGCATCGTTGCAAAATGCAAATGGAGCTGGAACTGGGCCTGCAGCTGGGGCTGAGGCTGCTGCTGCTGCTGCTTGCTGCTGGTGGTGCGGCGATGAGAGCAGGGGCAAGGCGGCAACCTGATAGCATCATGCGAGCGCGAACAAGTAATTAGAAAATATATTTAAGATGTTGCCTGCTACTGCGCTAACAGCCACGATTCCAACTTCGACTCCATCACCAACTGCAATTGCTTCGGCCTCGTATGATCATCATCATCATCATCATCGTCGTCTTCAGCATCGTGATATTTATGCTTATGCATTCCGAGGATGCGACGCAGAAACAACTGCAACTGCAACTAAAGTGGCGGCAATGCCAAAGGCAACCCTCGGGGCAGCGCCCCTCGTCTTTTCAATTGAAATGCTGCACTCACACTCACACTCACACTCACACTCGAGCACATTGCGACTTTAAGCATTTCAAAATTTCATTTATAACCAAATCGCGCACGCCATCAACATGCTGCCCCTGCATACCCTGTCTGCTGGCCATGCGAGTTGCTTCACTTACAGCTGAAGAGGAATATTTACTTATTTATTTATTTAGAGCCAGGAGATAATATAAAATTCAAGCTAACTTATAGAGCCAAACAACGGCTACAGGGGCATTTGGCGCATCCCTACATACATATGTATTGTATATTATATATGTGAAATTATTCAAAAAATATTCGCATAAGAATCAAGAATCAATCTATCGAATATCGTATCTTAAATGAATGACTTTGTTATCTTCTTAAATCTTGGAACTCGAGTGAAATGATATCAAATACGGAGAACTGATGGACGAATCATATTGGGTAAACAATTGCCAAAAATCGAGTCAATGATGAATCTAATTTATTTTGTTATTTTTTTATACGAATTTTTATAATTTAATAAAAATTATTATGGTTCTAAGATCTCAAATAAATCAAGATTTAATATACATAAATTACATCGAGATACTTAAATATCCTGCAGCCATTGATAATGGGAAATCAGGGTATCATGTGTTTGTGAAAATGCATGTAACAGACAGAAGAAGGCGTAGCAGACCCCATAAAGTATATATATTCTTGATCAGGGCGACGATTGTGTTGCTTAGCCATGTCCGTCTGTCCGCCTAGAGGCTTGCAACTTTACATGTATACTAAGCTAACGATATACTTAGCTAACGATATTTCTTTTTGTATACTAAGCTAACGATATTTCTTTTTGATTGGCGATAATCGTTAATTCGGTTTTATTTTTAAAGCCTAATTCGATGACTGTTTGAGCTATAGATTCCAAATTAACTGTGCAGAAGTATGTGACGAATGAAAACATTTTTTAATTTACAGAGGTTGGACACAATGCGCTCTTCGCCAGCATAGAATATATTTTAAATATTGTACTTAATATGCAAAATTCAAATTCGAAAGCTTTTAAAATATGTATTCTATTCAACATTTAGAATGTCCCAGTTTCAATCAACATTTTGAACTTAGATTCAAAGTTTGGCCATATATACAATCGCTTTACTTTAGAATCGTTAATTAACTATTCCATCTCTAGGAAATACAGTTTATAATCATTTAGGTACCACTACACTGGAACCTCTGTCTTATAATAATCTAGATAAGTAAATCCTCCCCTCTCTCCATATACATATATATATTTAATACACATTCAATAATAACATTCGAGTCGCCGTCTGAGCCAGCCGTGTGCGAGGGTATTTTGTGTGAGACGTGTCCGAGTTCGACTGCGAGTCTGAGGCGATGTTGCGATGTTTGTGATCTGCTTGCCGATAGAATCGCTCGTTAATTTACGAGTTAAATGAGACGCGCAATTGTCATGCTATAGACATTCGGAGATTGCGGGGCAGAGAGACGAGCTGCAGAATGGGGCTCGATGGCTAATTGGGGCTGGCAGCTTGCCGACCGCAGCAACAACAGCAACAGCAGCAGCAGCAGCAGCAGCAGTAAAGTCTTTGTACAGTTTTATAGTTGGCCATGCCACCCCTGTTGTCAGTCGCTTTCGCTTATTGTTGGGTGCATTGACTTGGACTACACTCGGCAGCAGGCGCATCTTTCTATCAAGCCGTTTATTCCTGTCATCATATCCCTGCGGCAACGCGACGTATGCGTGATGCATTGTCAACAAGTGCGGCAATGACAGCCCCGCTCCTCCAGCACAGACAACAAAGAGTCAGCAGCAGCAGCAGCAGCAGCTGGAGCCGGAGCTGGAGCAACGGGAGGAGCAAGTGGGGCTTGCTGCTGCAATGGCTCCTAGTTTGGAGGCATGTGGCTTCATAAAGCGTAGCTAGATGGCTGCATATTTGGTTGACTTAATGCCAAGATTCTTTAGCTGCGATAGCTGTAATGCTGTGTGCTCTATCTTCGCCCGCTGCTTTGTGCTGCCTTAGAAATCGCTGCCTCCACGGCAACCGACAGCAGTGCAATGTGTCTTTTTAGCACTTACTGCACCACCGCCGCACAGTGGGGCCTTTGCTCATTTTGCGTTGCAAAAATCATAACTTTTGAATCAAGCAAGATATTTCAAAAATTTAAAAAGCATTSGACCGAGAATTCTTCAAGCTATAAATAGGCCAAAATACAGGGTGATGCGTTAACAGGGTGCTTCACAGTTTTACCTCAAACCTGAAAAATGTGATTTTTGT